AGAAAAAAGCAGCATTTATTTTAGGATGTAGGATTAAGTTCTGGTTAAACTTGAAGTATTCTCTGTGTAAGTTGCTCCATTCTGGGAATCTGGAGATATTTCTGAATATCTTTAAATGTTATCACTGTTATCAATTTGCCCTCTTCACTAAGAAGCTGTACCACCATTTTTCCCTCTGACTTTACAGTGCACATACGTGAATAATTTTTTTTTGGTTGCTTTCTCCTTGGTATTGCTAGGGAGTAGTATGGAGCCATCACCCTAGTTATAGTATGATGGCATGGTCTTCAAAGATGAGTGTCTGCATGTCAAGTTCATTAACAGCAACATATGGGCAGCTGAAACAGGTATTATTTGGTAGCTTATCTGCCATTAGGGAAGTCCAGAACAGGCCCTTACTGTGTTTCTACTGGACACACCTGCATAGAGAGCCGTGGACTTTTCCTTAGTGCTGACATTAGTTTGCTGTACTATGCAGTAGAAACAGCTGTAAAATTCTGGAATGCATAAGTGCAGGTGCTAGTGAAAAGGGTCACCTGCATCTCAGAGAAAACTGACCTTTCAGAAACTCTGAAGTCTTCTCCTCTACCTGTCTTATCATGTCTACAAAGTACAACTCATTCAGGATGCAAACCATTTCGTGGAAGATTTAACAGGCAGTGGATTTACCTACCTGCAGAGGTAGTTCTGAAGGGAATGTAGCTGAGGTTGAAAGCTGGCTTGAACAGTAGGATGGTGAGTCTATTACAGTGGCTGGGTTCAGACAACATGACTTTTTTTACCATTGTTTGTGTGTTTTGTTCTTTGAACCCAGCCATGGCATTTCATCATCGTAAGTTTGGTCTTTAGAAACCACAGTAACAAACAACAGTTTGTTCTATGGTTTCTCTGTACCACAATGGCTTCTCATGTTGTCTGAACCCAGGATCATGATTTCCACAGAACTGGTATGCAAATACCACAGAGTTCTCTGGAAAGAGTGGCATTTGCAGGCGTCGCTCCATACAGTCAGCCTGTATGTGTGGACCAGTGAGGAACAGCCGGGTGATGTGCCTTGGGATTCAGTTCAGGAGTATATGATGGGGGTAGATGCCGACAAAAGGGAGGATTGAGTGGGGAGAATGGAAACCATGATAATATAGAAAGTATTTAATCATCTGTCAGGTAGTCCATGGTTAAATCCCACCCCCTGCCAACCATGGTAACCATGCAGGGTTGCTTGTGGTGTTGTGTGAACCCAGCCAGTGTGGATGATGCGGCTGCAGTGTTTGGACGATGGGAGCTATTACATTGGCAATAGTGTCAAAGGTTGCCCTGGACATCCTGAAGATTCCTGTAAAGTATATGTCCTACCTGCACCACGGAGAGCCATACAGTTACAGTTCTAGGGAAGCACTGGTACTACATCAAGGTGTTCATCTAATCTCCATTGGAATAGTCTCCACCATTCCCTGTGCCTTTTTCAGAGCTACAGCTGTATGTCTCTGCCAATTGAGAACCTGGTGCAGTGAACAATGAGAAGCTGGCATTTTCTTTGCGAAAACAAGACCAAGACAGCAGAGACAATACTGCTATGCTGCTCCAGAGATTCAATTACTGCTGCCCTGCAGCACATAAACCATTCTAATTCTTCCTCTTTGGTGTCCCTCTTCTCTAACATTCACTGAATAGTTGCATAAAAGACAGCTGCTCTTTCACTTGGTTCTCTGTCTTTCCCTTCCTCTGTACTTTCATAGAAGTGGTGTTCTGAGACCAGCAGGGGAGAGAGAGGATGGGATGGACTGGAGAGTGGGAGGCAGTTTTGTTTGTGCTCTGTTTGGCACTGTGCTCCCTATTGCTTTTCCCTTGCCTCTGCCAGCTGCTGTTTTAATACCAGAGATACTTTTCCTGTTTGTTTTTTGCATAGGATGCTCATATACCTACACATATCATTTCACATATTTAAACAGTTCTTCCTATGCAGTGGCATTCTCTATGCTTCAACTGGATTAAGAGGAACAGTCTACTAAAAGTTTGAAAAACTGATTTCTAGTTACTTTTGCTAGGGGATCAATCAAGAAAATGGTTTAGATGAATGAGGATATTATCTGTTTATGCCTTATTTTTCTGGGACAACTTTAATGGGAATTTTGCTTCCTTTTAGAAAAGAAAGATGTAACACAGAGTCTAGAAAACTATACATCTAAATGCCCTGGAACAATGGAATTCATCACACTTCCAGATGGCTTAAAGCTCCCACCTGTTCCATTCACAAAGCTGCCCATTGTAAAGTAAGTACAATGGGGTTGGGCCAATTCCTCCTTAAATATAGCCTGCAAAATTCAGCCTGGTTGAATTGGATTTTGATTCATAAAAGGAGGGAGGAACCAGGATCTGCAGCTGAATTGGCAAAGCCACTGGCCCCAAGATAAGCCAGGCAATTGGCGAAAATCAGACAGTTTCTAATTCTCCTGGAATGTGAGTGAGCAAACTGACATGGAAGGGGATGTGTCCAACGTATTAATCCAATCATAAGACATCAAGTTAAGAGGTTGGATGGACTGAGAAATGTCAGACACTCCAGGCAACTGGCGCTTGTTGTTTAGGAATTTATACTAGCAGTAAACCCTTAAAAATGGCCTAGCAAAAAATAGGCAGCTAATGCGTTTCCTTCAGAATGGGTGTAATATGTTTGTTCGATTCTCCTGTTCAGCAGCCTAAGCTGTAGCATTCGGTGCCAACAGCAGCTTCTGGGGTAGCCCATTGTAAAAAGTTCATTGCATGAATTCAGCCCTGAGGGTGTCAATATCTGAAGCACTGTGAGCAGCTAAAGCCACCATGACTAAATTAGATCATTGGTTTCGGTAGAATCTTCTCTAGTTATGAGTAAGTCTCCACACAGCGTCTTTAAGGAAATTATGTATTTTTTGTACTTGTACCTTTCACTGTATCATACTCATCTTTACGCCAATTTACTAGAACTACTACCCTGCATATTGACTTGTTTCTCTTCTCACTGCATCTATCATTTTATCAATCTCTGCTAAGTTACCGTTAACTTTTGTTCACTCAAACATGTAAAACTTTCTGTCATTTAACAGATCTGTTAAGCTCTTAAATCTCCCTGTTAGTCTTCGGCCGCAAAAAATGAAAAGCTTGCTGGGCCAGAACATGTCAACTAAGAGTCCCTTTATATATTCTCCCATCATTGCTCACAATCGAGGAGAGGAACGAAGTAAAAAAATAGGTGAGAGAATTTCTGACGCTCATTATTTTTGAAATGTCACCTGCTCCTACATGCAGTTCCTGTTTCTATATACAGTATATTGCTATTGATTGCTGGCTTTTATTCTGCAAATTGAATCAAATAGGTATTGCTAGGTTTTGGATCAATATGCTATTTCCTGTTCTTGATTAGGTGACTGACTAGACAACTTGGGAAAGACATCTTATATCTATCTTGATTTGTTTCCAGCCCAGGAAGTGTTAGTTCCTCGCTACAAGTAGCATGCTTTTAAAAATAATCTTTAAACATAACTGCAGGAATGCCCAGTAAAAATGTGTTCTTGTAGTGCATATTAGAAACCTGAGAATGAGAATGGTAATAGGCAGGATGTGGTAGGTAATTTCACCGTAAAGGCTAGGTAACCTAGACATCAACACTTGCAATCCTTTTACTGCTGATTACTAGGCGAAGCTGATGTCAGTTTTTGATTGGGTAACCTTGATAGACTGCGGGAATGCTGTGGACATAATATATCTTTTTTCAGCAAAGCTTTTGACAAAGTGCCCATGATTAGCACTTTGTGTCCTGATTAGCAAGCTGGCTAAAAGTGGGCTAGATTGAGCAACTGTCAGAAGGATCCACAGTTGGCTACAGAATCAGACTCAAAGAGTGTTCATCAATGGCACCTTCTTAAACTGGAAAGCAGTAACGAGTGGGGTACCACAAGGTTCAGTCTTGGTCCAGTTCTCTTCAACATGTTTATTACTGATTTGGATGAGAAGGTACAGGGAATCTTCTCAGAATCGCAGATGACACAAAATTGGGTGGAATAGCCAATATCCTGGGAAACAGAAACAAAATTCAAACTGTCCTTGATAGGCTGGGCTGAAAGCAACAGAATGAAATTTAACAGGGACAAACACCAAGTTCTGCACCTAGGAAGAATAATCAAATGCATCCTTACAAGATACTTGGCTCAACAATTCCACCACAGAGAAGGATCTCTGAATTGTTGTAGATCACAAGCAGAATAAGAGTCTGATAATGTAATGCAGTTGCAGAAAAAAAAAAAAGGCAAATGCTATTTGAAGTGCATTAATAGAAATACCACTTCCAAATCATGTGAGGTATGAGTTCCCCCCACTGGTTAGACCTCCTGTTTACTGGGTCCGTTTCTGCTTATCACAGTTTAAGAAAGAGGTGGACAAGCTAGAGAGGTTCGGAGGAGGGCAACAAAAATGATTAAAGGACTGGAAATAAAACCCCAGAAAGATTGGAACTATTGGGCATGTTTAGCCCTGAGAAGAGAAGAGAGTTTTCTTCAAGTCACTGATAGGCGGACCAGGATCTCATGTTGATCTTCTCAGAGTGCAGGGCATGGAATAATGGACTTACCTTACAGGGAGTCAGATTTCAGATGAACATCAGAAAAAACTTCCTGATCATAATGGACACAGTTACTGAGGGTGGATGTGGGCTCTCCCACAGTCATTCAGGATGCAGCTGGTCAGCCATCTGTTAGGGATCTCTAACCTGGGGGCATGCCTTATTGGCCCCTTCCAACTGTAGTATTCTAGGATTTTATGATTCCATGGTCATGTTCAAGAGGAGAAAGCAGTTTTTGGTCAAGAGGAGCAGCTGGTTCACTGCCACTCTCTCCCAGAAGAGATGGTGCTCAAAGCTCCTCTCACAGCTGGTCAATGTCTGATTTTTCTTCCAGCCTGTCCTGCCCTTGCAGCTTCATCTCTCTTGCATTGTATGGAAATGCTCTGAATAAATTTAAGTTAAATTAAATAACAATAAGTAAATATGTTCCTTTCTTGTCTAAGTTCCCAAACCTATTTGAACGCTTGTATAATTATGCATGGGTGATTTCATAGTGACATTTAATTGTACAGATATCCAAACTGTTCAGCCTGTCGTACTAATACTTATCTTTCTGGTATTCAAGTTATTCAGCTATTTTCTCAGCAATTCTTACAATATCTCTGAAGTGTATCAGCATTATTATCCCTATATTGCAAGTAGGGAGCTGTGACATGATAGCTCTGCACTACTTTTAGGCTAGCTCTTTTAGATAAGGATTTCAGCCTTCAAAGTGATCAGCCTGCTCTCCCTGTAATATCTTCAGGTGTACATACTGCTATTTTAGTTTGCTTTATTAGTGTGAGCAGCTGGGCCCGCCATAGAAGATTCAGGCTGTGTTCACTAACATTATTCTATTTTCACCTCTGAGTTTTCTGAAGTGAGAGCAAGCCAAAACACTTGCAGGTGTTCAGAATGATTGGTTCTGACATGTGGGTAGACATTATTGAATAAATATTGGTGGCAGAATGCTATATGCTGGAATATAATGTGGAACCTGGGTATCTTTAAGTGTGTATGTACTTTTTTTGAGCTGTGAAACTAACTTTCTGTGTTTGTGGTTTTGATGTAGACTTTCAGTGGGTCCAGGGAGATGTTTGTGAAGTTCAGTTGATGGTGTACAATCCAATGCCATTTGAACTTCGTGTCGAAAATATGGTATGTTGGTTAAGTTGAAACCCTTCTTATCTTTAACAGTTATTATCATTGGGTGTGGTATTACCCTTTGAAGAGAAACGAATAACGAGCATCTCTCCCAGCACTGCACCCCATCACCTTCTTGGCAGAGCAGCCAGGAACTAGTGTTGTTGCTTCCGTCTTCTTTGCCCCTCTGCTCCTGAAGCCCACTTAGCTTGAAAAGTGCATACGGAAGGGTTTATTGAGATAATGAATGGTAGAGGTGAGGGTCAAGGAATCTTTTTATGTATCATTTGTGGGAAATATCTTTGCTGAATTTAAGCAAGCAGCTAAGAGGGAAATACCTTTAAATGCACTACTCAGAAGCATAGCTTACACACTGTGTTTGTACTTATCCTTACAGATTCTGGAAAATTCTGAAACTGGTTCATTCCCTAAGTGTATATCACAACTACTTAGTAAAACTACAGAATCTAGCTTATATCTCTGAAATTATCTCGAGATACTATTTTTCCTGTGAAATTTACTTTAAGGATGGAAATTTTTTGAGTAAGCATCTGTTCAATTTTCAAAAATGGAGAAACCTAGTCTTTTTCTTCTTCTTCTCAGCACTTTTGAAATTATGTCAGGGTACATAGCAGAGCATAATTTTAATAGCTTTACCGACCTTTCACTTTCCATCTTAAGATTGTAAATCAGAGCTGGTTTGAATGCTATTACAGTGTGATCAGCCTTCTGGTCTGATCTCAGAGCCTGATTTCTCTTTAATCTTTGATCCATATTCCTGGCTCCTGACTTTCTCCAGGTGCTGCTCATAACCCAGACCTGATATCCATGAAGCAATAAGCCCCTGATTTAAAAAAAGCCTATTGTACTCATTACATAATCTCAGTGCCATTCACTTAGCACTAATGGTCAGAAACAGAGTATAGCTATCCTACTTATAAGAGTGTTTGGATGCTTAAAATGTTTGTTCTCTGTGTAAAGTGATCAGTTGAATGGTTTGTGCATTTCTAGACCAAAGACAAAAAACCATCTTCTTTCTCCTCATTGTTGCTGTAAGAAACTTCCGATGATCTTAGAACTGTGCTTTAATGGAAATTATTTGTGAAGCCACACTTCTTCAGTATGGATTCCCTGCAGGGTCATATAATTGAAGTGGATGTTTTTAAGGGGAACTTCCCCCCGACGGATAATTCATTAAAATTAGATTAGCTAGCTGAAATATGTTCCTGGAAAATATTTTTGCTTTTAATTTACACAAAGCATTTGATGTTGTTTAAAGAAAAAAGTATTCTTCTCTCTCGCTTTAGAATAAACTATAGTTGCAATTGACTGCTATATTATTTCTCATGCATTGCCTAGTTGCTGAAAATTGTTGCTTGCTGTTGCTGAAGCATTTGATGCCCCAAATAGCTTAAACATGACTGAGAATATAGCTAAGAACAAGAAAAAAGGGTCCCAAAAAGAGACATGCAAATATTTACCTAAACCATGTAATCTTTACCTGAGTATTGCTGATGACTCTTTTTGGGGAATAAATCTCATTGGAATTAGAGGGACTTACTCTTGAGTAACTGATGTCTAAAATTACAATATACTTTTTAAAGCAATAAGTGCCATTTTAAGCAATTGAGCTTCAAGTATGACTCAAATGGTTCCAAGTGTATGATTTTCACAGAGTTCTCCATGAGGACTAGAGTTATGGATTTAAGGAGAAATTAGCTTGCTCTTTACACAGAAAAACCCTAGGAGTGAAAAATTTCCAAAATGTCCCATCCATGACAGCCCTGTTCAACTCTTCTAAAGTCAAGGCTGTAGCGTCCTTTATGGAGCCCATCCATCTTGTAGCTGGTCTTCCTTTTCTTCTCTGCCTTCAATTTTTCCTAGCATGACAGTCTTCTCCAGGGGGTTTTGCCTTCTCATGATGTGTCCAAAGTATGATAGTCTCAGCTTTGTCATATTTGCTTCTAGGGAAAGCTCTGGCTTGATTTAATCTAGGACCCCTTGTTTGTTTTTCTCTCAGTTCAAGGTATTCACAGTGCTCTCAATGGCACCATGTTTCGAATACATTCGTTTTCTTCTTTTCTTCCTTGTTCAGCTTTCATACTCCTGTGAAGTTCACCAGATGACTTTGGCCCAATCACAGACTTTCAGCCTAACCTACCTTTACATGATATGTTGATATGAGGATAAAATGGAGCTACATAAGCTGCCTTGCATTCCTTTCAAGAGAAAAAGGGAGGATATAAACGCAAAATGGTGATGATAGTAGTAGTAAACAAACCATTAATCTTTAAACATTAAAAACCTATTAATATTTGAAAGGACAATTTCAGTTTACACATTAGATCAGATACATGGTTTACTGAAACACACATGTTCTTCATTTAAAGTGTGCTAAGTGAACTTCCTTCCTTCCTCAGGGCCTTTTGACAAGTGGAGTTGAGTTTGAATCTCTCCCTGCAGCACTCTCTTTACCTGCAGAATCTGGCCTCTATCCAGTAACACTGGTTGGTGTTCCTCAGTCTGCCGGCCAGATTGCTATCAATGGTAAGAAATACTATAGTTGTTTTCTCCAGTTTTCATGTAGGCAACCTGGTAAGAGCATTTGCTTTTCAAGAGCAAATGTTTTTTTCTTACTAGTAGTAAGAAAGCTGGTATTTTTCTTTAGTTTTTCATTTTGTTTTGTAAATGTCACTTAAGTAATATTGTTGTGATTTTTGCCTAGCCAAACCAGAAGTATAAATAACAGAAAAACAGCAGTAAATCTCAGTATGTTTAATAATTTATTGTGAAACATTCTATACAGATTTCCTTCAGTTCTAGATCATATAAATTAAATTTGACTGGAGAATATTGAGCTAACCTAATTGCCTATGAAATGTACATGAAAAGACTTTTTGATTAAAAATTAGCTCTTCAATAAAACATTAAGTATCAACTGAAAGGGTAAAACAAAAATGTTATCACTTGCAAAGTATGTTAAATATGCTTTTAATTAGGGTTTTCCAGAAAGGCGGGGAGGTGTTATCATGTAACAGCAACCCATTGTGGTAAATCACAGTGATGGGTTGCTGTTAAGTGCCAAACAGCCAGAATGAGCCCGAGAGATGATCAGGGTTGTAGTGGTTGCTTTGCTCCCTCTCCTACCTCCTTCCCTCCCATTTCTCCCATGGGTGTCCCAGGAGACACCGAGGAGTAGAAGGACGATCCTTTCTTTGTCAGCTGTGATCAGCAGAGAGGATAGATGGAACCAGGCACCCCGTTTCCTGCTCTAGAGAAAATAATCATTAAAAATAATCAATTAACAGTAATTAATATAGAGAGAACAGGTGAGAAGGACAACCAAATAATCATTAAAATCTACCAAAGGTTAGACACTTAAAAACATTATTAAAATGAATTATTAACATTATTAATATGGGTGGAGAAGAGATGTGTTTGCGCCTGCCACTGGAACAAGAGCAAAGTTGGCACCAGGTGAACTTCTCTAACCTGTCCATCCCTAGTTTTAGGCACTTGTTTCTTTCATGACATGGTTGGAAGTTTACCAGATCATGGGGTCATTATATGTCTGAAACCTTTAGAGAAGTGAGGATATGGAAAACCTTTGCTAGTGCTATTGCATTATGAAACATGTTCTTGAGACTCAGGGACACCACATGAAAAATAGTGTTAAAATTTGTTGGTCTCCCTCTGTATTAGCCATTTAACCCACCACTTCTCCATCCCCATGTCAGATTAGAGCTTTGTTTTAAGCAGCCCTAGCAACCAAGGATTTTCTGAAATAGCCTTTCATACATGTTAAAAGTTGGGTTCAAATGAACCACTGGTATATGAGCAACTCAGCTCTTCTGTGCATTTCTCATCGATCAGGGAAATGTGTTTTGCATCTGAAAACTTCAGCTCCAGTGGGCTTCTGTCTATGGCTTGACAACTTAGTCCACACTGTCGTCTTCTCCCTGACCCACCTCTTCTCTTGGCAGGTTATCACACTTCAGTCTTTGGTGTCTTCAGTGACTGCCTTTTGGAGAAGCTGCCAGGAATAAAGACCAATGGCTGCACAGTGGAAGTCATCCCAGCTTTACCTAGACTACAGATTAGTACTTCATTACCGAGGTAAAAGTCCGAAGTGTTCATTCGTTTTCAAGTTGTTAGGATTTGGGTGCTTTAACCATTTTCCAAGGAAGCATCCTGAATGAATAATTAAAATGTCAAATATTTACATATGCTTTTTCTTTATAGTAGCCAAAGTGTTTTACAGTCAGAGGAATGAAAACAAAGCACAGTAATTTTTAAATAGCAGCAAAGAACAGTGAAAACAAAACTGGTCAAAAACCACCACTATAGAAATAGCTAACCATCACACTGAAATGCTGGAAGAGGTGATGCAGGGCAGAATGTGCTATAACTGACCCCCCCCCCCCCCACCATAAAATATCTTTTCCCGGGTTTTCATTTTTTGCCACTTATTCTCTGAAGGTGGGCAGCCATAAGAAGACCTTTGAAGTAGCTCTTAGATGCCAAAAGGATATTTATGCCTGTGCTCTCAGCATCCCCCAGTATCATTTGACAAATCATTTTTGAAACAGAGGAAGGCTTGTAATATAGTTGCTCGTGATATAGTACAGGATTAACAAGATAAAGGGAGAAAGCACCTGCTTATGGTTTTGGATGCCTATAAAGGAGTTTTTTGGATCTGCAGTAATGATTACATATATGATATTACCACTTTCCCCTGACATTTTAAAAAGGCTGAGAGGGGTAGGCCAAGTTTCAGTATCTACTGCCTTTGAGACAAAATGTTAGTGGTACCTGTTTCTCAGTAGCCATCCTTTGAGGCTGATCAAAGACAGTAACACTGGGATGTGTCTCAGAAACTGGGATTGACTCGGTTTCCCTTCAGTTATGAAGAAAATTAATTTTTTTCCTGGAAATGGAATAGGCAGCAACTTCATCAGTTCTCTGCTGCACTTCCATGGACAGTTACCTGGGAGGTTTTTAAATGTTATTTGTGTGCTGCCTCATAACATAAAGTACTTTGAGCAGCTTACAATCAGCATAAAATAAAATCGAATACAAAATAAAGCATAAAAGCAAAAGCAACATAAAATATTGGAATAGAACAAAGAAAAAGGCTCACCCAAAATTAAACACAAGGATTTTAAAATTGGGAGACTTAGGCCAAAATGTATCTTAAATGTTTTCTATATTGGTTTGTTTCTTTGGGGAATTTTTTATATTCTTCAAAGAAACAATGACAGAACGTTATCCTGAAAGAAATAAGTCTGAGGATTAATATTTTATCAGCCACCAATGGCAAAAGCTGTTTCAATTTTCTCTTTATTTAACTTGCATCTGAAGTAGAATTGTGGATGCTGAAAGTCACAAAGTTCTCCTTCAGATTCTACTTTGGAATGCAAAGTAAATTTTCCACAAATGCCATCCACCTACAGATTAGCACTTGAAGGCCATATCTTCCCATGCTGAAAGTAGTGAACCGAAGCAAGCAAAGTATATCAGTATGGTATAGTATAGTAATTAGTGCTAAATGAAGAAAGTAAGGGTTCAAATGCAGTCACTGAGAGAGGGTGCTCACTGCAAGAGGGTAAGTTACAGTTCTAATTACTCTCTCTGTCTAATGTACCTCACAGCATTAAAGGAAAGGAAAGGAAAACAGGCTGGGGAAGGGATACACTGCTATAGAGTCTTCAGATAAAAATAAATAAATACAAATGCATAAGCAAAAGTGGATAATTCTGTTTTTAAATTTTGTTACCTTTTTCACTTATATTTTGACTCCAATTTCACACTATTTTAAAGGTCTGCTCACACACTCCAGCCTACCTCGGGAGATGAAATCACCACCAGTGTTTCTGTCCAGCTATACAATGGAGAGACCCAGCAACTCATCATTAAACTAGAAAATATTGGAACTGAGCCTTTGGAGAAACTGGAAGTCACATCAAAAATGGTCAACACAAAAGGTTCGGTGTTGCTGCTTGGTGTTGTTTTTACTGTGCCTACAATTTTCTAACTGTTGGTAGAAGGATTAAAAATTAAATGATCCTACAATCTAATAAACGTTGTGCCATAGAAAATGAAAAGGGATGGGCAGGGAACTGTGAAACAAGAAAAAATGACAGGCAGCAATCCTTCGTAAGTTACTTTAATGCAGTAAGATTAGCTTTAACAAGTATTTATGAATGGTGAACGCTCTGGCAGAATAATCCCCAGATCACAGAGGTTACCACTGTTTTTCCACTTGCTACTTTGAGAAGGTTCCATCCCCTCGCCACACCAAATGTTCTTTTGGCAGTTTGCTGGAACGGGATGCATGGAACTTGTAACACACAAATACTACTCACATGGTATTATATGAAAATGAGAAGGACTTGTTTTTGCTTGTCACAGAGGACAGATGTTTTAAAAATATCTGCAAGGCAGTACACGTAGACGCTTCTGATAGTAAGTTCATATCCCTTTTGGCTTCTATAAAGCTCACATAGCTTTACTAGCACTTTTTACTATTGGTCAATGGACCTGAAAGTAACTGCTTCATCTTTAAAATGGAGGAGGAGGTGGTAAAATACAAAGCAGAAAATTGTCTGTCTGTCTGTCTTGCCTGCCTGCCTGCCTTTTTTTCTCAAAGGACTCAAGGCAGCTTACATCTCCTCCTCCATCTTGTCCCCACAACAACAACCCTGTGAGGTAGGTTGGCCTGAGAGTCTGTGAGTGGCCCAGAGTCACCCAGTTGGCTCCATGGCTGAGCGGGGACTCGAACCTGGATCGTCTGAGTCCCAGTCCCGTGCTCTTCACCACTACACCACACTGGCTCTCATTTCATCTCATTTTGAAACATATCTCATTTTGATATGTTTGTCTCTTAAAGGACATTTGGCTGCAATGGGAATGTGTTCATAATTGTGTTTTTGATACAAAAAGCAATATTTGACAGTATTGTAGTAATGAATAAAGCATCTCTGGCTGGCTCATACAGGCGGTCCACTGTGCAAGTTTAGATTAAAAAATGTATATCTGAATAATTTAGTTACTTCAAATCACTTGTATGAGCAGTAACATGAGCAAATTCAGAACTGTTTTGGTCCTTTATTTTAAACTCCTTCCAAATTCTGGTAGCTTCTTTATAACATTCAGCACCAGGGCAGATATGAATTAAATCAATTGAAATCATGATTTAAATCACAAGCCAGTAAGATTAAATTTAAATCATGGTTTTCTACATAATTTACAAGCATGCCTGCTTTATCCATAGGTAGAGGAAATTCATTAAAATATTCCCAAACTGGGGCCCTCTTATGGCTAATCCCATTTTTGGCTTTCTCCTCCACAGAAAGAATAGTATGATAAACCTCAGGCTATGCACAAAAAGATCCAAAATCTTTCTGGGCATTCTTCTCAAAAGGTTTCACTTTCAGCTTTATTGCTTGCTCCTTCCTCCTTACGCTTAGCTTCTTGTGCAGATCTAGTCCACTCCCAATAATCATCTTCTATTCACCGAATTTTTTGAAATTTAGCCCTTAAGAGGTAAGGGGTTGATACCTTGTGCATAGATTTGCAAAGGAACAATGGGATTAAGGTCATTTTCTCAACTCTATATGTTCATTTTATAATATTTTTGCTATGAGGAGGCATATGATCACTGCGGACAGTTGACTGTAAAATCAAGCATCTGTGAGAATATCTTCAAGTAGAAGAAATGCCCAATAATCTTGCAGAAATATCTGGAAGAACATGACATTGTGAATGGGTGTGAAAAGAGCTTCACACCCCCTCCCCTCTTGTGCTCAACTGTTGTAACCTCCAGTCTCCAAGGGGTGTATAATTCGAAATAGCCTGTCAGCAAGTTACACATTTTTGTATGCTTCACCTCCTCATTCTCTAAGATGATAATGTTTCGACCTTGGCCACACTGTAACTTTGATAAGGCTGTTCAGGGAGTATATCTTCTCCAGCTCTAGAGTCATAACTAACTGAACACACCTCTGTACTTCTAAGCTGCATTTTTGTACAACAGAGTCATGCTGGGCCAGACAGTGGGTCCATCTCATCTAGCATTCTGTTTATACAGTGCCTGATCACCTGCCCATGGGAACCCACAAGCAGGAAGTACATGCAGCAGCTCCTTCCCACCCTCAGTAACTGGTGTATGTAGGTATGTTGCATCTGAGACTGGAGGTTAAATATAATCAGGACTCATAGCCATGGATAGCCGCCTTGGAGAATTTGCCCTGTTCCCTTTTAAAGCCCTCCAAATCGGTGGCTGTTGGTAAACTCCATAGTTTAACAATGCACTGTGTGAAATAGTAGCCTGAATCTCCTAGCACTGAGCTCCATGGGATGACTCAGACTAGAATACTGTGTGAGAGAAAATGTCTCCCTATTCACTGTCTCCACACCAGGCCTAATTCTGTACACCTAGTTCATGTCTCTTGTCATTTATCTTTTTTCTAAGCTGGACGGTTTCGGATGTTGTAACCTTTCCTCATATGGGAGTTTTTTCAGCCCCTTGATCATTTTAGTTGCCATTTGCTGCATTTTTCCTAACTGTACAGTATCCTTTCTTAGGTGCGGTGATGAAAAGTGTACATAGGATTCTAAGTATGCTGTCATCACGGATCTGTGTAAGAGCAGGATGATATCAATAATTATTTTCAGTTCCTTTCCTAATGAAGTCCTACCATGGAATTTGCCTATTTTCACAGCAACTTCCCATTGGGTGGACATTTTCATCAAGTTGTCTACCTGAGTCCCAAGATCTCTTAGTCACTGTTAGCTCAGGTCCCACCAACCTATACTTGAAGTTGGGTTTACAGTATCCCTTCTTGGTTTGTTTACTTGCTTGCTTACTTGAGACTTTATGTTTCTGCTCCCAGAGGTATTTGTTTATCCTCTCAGACTGATTTTTGTCGGTAATATTGAACATTGATTGGAGAGATAACATATAGCAACAGCTTTCTGCACAAGAAATGTTTGTCTCCTTTTCTACTATACTAATAAGAGACTGTACTATATTCTACTGTAAGAGGGCTTGCACTGTAGCTTCTGTATTATCATTTAGCTATGATAATCGTGCATGTATGATTATTAACTGTCCTGAGGTTAACTTTCTTTGATAGAGAACTGGGATACCTATTAAATCAATCATTCAGTACATTGACACCAAATATAATAGAGAAGTGTAAAAACAGTTCCTGAGTGGAATTCTGGGATTATTTTTGTAATCTCAGTAGTGCACTGTTAGTTGTTCCTGGTCATGTAGAAACCCTTGATTCTTCTCTCCCCTCCCCTCCCCTTAATTTATGCACAGTAGTTATATGCAACAATCTCTTAGGCCTTGTCTACTCATGCAGCAGAATGAAGTGTTAGAATCGAAACGCGATAGCGTGGATTATATTTCTGAATGTGGCTAGGAGATGCTGTTTTTGATGTTTACCATGTAGGTACTCTTTCTTCTCCATGGATTCTGTGTATATGGGACCTGTGCCTGCATGGAGCCTCATCTGGAAATCTTCTGCCTCCGAGGAATTCTTATTTAGCGTGTATGCTGCCCCATTAGCCATAGACTCTCTGGGCAGCTCACTTCATAGTAAAACAACATTTTAACAGCAGTTAAAACCAGTATAAGTCAATTATAACAACCACAGTATAAAACCAACCAATAAAAGAATAAAGCAAAATAATATCAAATCAAATCAAAGGCATGGAATGGCAGGATTTTAGGCAGGAACGATACGTTTGCACACATTCCTAGTAGGTTCCTGCCAATCGCTCAGTTCCTCTTTGACTCATGATCTGGTTTCTTTGAAGGAGACTTCTCTCACCTAGTGTGGATCATATTATATTTGCGGAGCTTTTTTCCTATCCAGCCTCTCTTTCTTATTTCCAACTCGTTTTTCTCTGAAGTCTAACATACCAGTTTTTTCTTCTTCATGCCATATGGCGTTAGAGGCATCTCTCAGAAAATGTGTCAAGCGTGGGAGCCAGCTGCAACAAAGAGATGGGCACTCTCTTTGTCTGTTTTGTTTGGATGAAGGTCTAGTGGACGCTTGTGCTCACTGCTCAGCATTTACTAAGGTGGCCTATAGAAATTGGTATTGCTTAAATCCCTTTTTCTGGAAAAGAACTTTAGAAGCTCGTGAGATTCCTTGTCCCTTGGTGGCTCTGGATGGAGCATCTCGTTTCTTCTAAAATAACATATGGGGAGCTCATACCACCTTGGGACTGGACCTTGATCTTGGTATAGCTTTGCTGCTAATGTTGCTGCTATCTTCAGACCAATGCCTAGCAGGTGGAGCCCCTTCTTGGACGGCTGCCACAGTAGCCTTGGCTGCATTTGCTCATCTTTGAATGTGGCCACTGTAGAATAAGTTTATTTAGTTAGTGATTCTACCACCCATGCACCACTGCATCTGTGGGACCTTACCACATCCAATCTGTTATTCCCTCCCTTGGGAACATATAAACAACCTGCAAATTAGGCTAAATCAGTCTTGTACATTACAGAATAGAAGGGACAGCTCCCTGGCCCACAGTGCTTCCACTCCGTTTTAATTCTTTGAAGGAATGTATGATGAGACATTCTAATTTTGTGGAAAGAGTTAGATGGTGGCAGTTTTTCAAATGTAGTTGTATCTTTGAGGGTTCTCTGTACCCCTGCATTGGTCCCAGCTTGCGCCATTGCCTGATTCTGTGCTAACTCATGACAAGACATAGTTTGCATGCATACATACATACACATTCATACATACATAGGAACAGCATAAGGTTGCAGTTCTCCCATAAGTCTGTCATTTAGAGGTGGAAGACAAAACCAGTAATTTGTATTTTAGCCATGTTCTAGTAGAATTACATTTTCGTAAACCAACCACTTGCAAAATAATTTATTCATAACATTTCTTTGCCGTACCCATCGCTGAAGCCTCGGGGCGGCTCACAAGGAAAACAAAGCATAGAACAATATTAAAAATTCAGAGTTCTCGGTGATAATATAAAACCATTAAATAAAACACAGATTAACAATTAAAATATTGTTTACATAAAAAGGTCTTGGCCTGGTGCCAAAAAACAAATACGGCGCCAGGCAGACCTCTCTGGGGAGCGCATTCCATATGTGCAGACAAATCAAAACAAAATTCTGTTAGATATTGTCTGCACTGTGTGATATTCATAAGACCTCCTTCCCAAAACACATGAGGCTTAAAAATGTATATTTTTCACACCTATACTATTTAAATAAATTGTGCTGGATTTAGTGCACTTTTCTCAGCTATTGAGAATTGTTAACATAATATTAATAGTTAGTGACTATATGTTGTTGTAACCCCCCTCATAATCAAGCATGTAGCCAGGGCATAGCTCATCACGAGTAAAAAGCATGGTCAGGGTGTCCTGTTCGCATGAGAACAAGAACACGAACACGGATGTGCACGCTACGCAAAGCTGACAAAGCAGGCTACGCTCCAGCCTTACCAGTAGACGTTATGCCCTTGTACCCACGCTTGCTTGCTTTAGCATGATAAATGTGCAAATGTGCTTTCCCCTGTTGTTCGCTGTCATTCAAGCATAAGTGTAAAAGAGTATAAAAATCCTGCCTTCGATCTGCTCAGGACCGCACTCTAACGAGTGATGGTCCCTGCCGGCAGGTAAATAAATCTCTCTCGATAATTCCAACCAGTCTCTGGTCTCGTCCGTAAAATCGCGCCATACAACATATGTGATTGGTTTAACTTAGATTGTATCCTAGATTAGTCATATAAGATTTTGATTCATTGTTACATCAAAGCCATATTTACAAGTTACTTTAAATATTCAAAAGCACAAATTTAACACCCTTTCTGATCCAATTCAAGTGTCTTTCAAATAGGTTGATGGCTGGAGCTTATGGATCTATGGATGGTCTGTGTGCGCATTTAGCCAGCTACAGCATTAACCTTTCATCCTTCTAGTCCAATTTTTGAACCATAATGGAAATGAATTCCACTGCAATGGATAAAAAATTCTGTAATTCCATAGGAACTGCTTTAAATTCCTTTATGTTTTTGGTAAGATGTTCTTGATGTTGTAATTCTGTTTGAATCTAACCTACGTGTGTTTTTATTAATGCAGGGAAGCTGTTTGGTGACTTTCTGAGCTGGAATCTAGAAGACACACTCTCCCAGTTTCCCCTGAAACCGGGAAGTATTGCTACATTTACTGTTTACATTAAAGCAAAGCTTGACTTCTCCTGCCAGGAAAACCTCCTGCAAGACCTTAATGATGGTGAGTTTTTGCTTTGGATCTTTTTTTTAGCATTAAGTGCTGTGCATCTTTTGGAAAGCCTTTATCAGCAAAGTTGAAGAGGGAAGCATTACTCTCAAAGTTGAAGAGGGAAGCACCTAAGAGACAAGTGTCAACAATTTATTTATTTATTTATTTATTACACTTATGTTGAGGACAAAAAAGGAGTTCCTTTTGTTTGTTGCCTGACCATGGGAGAGACAGGCAACACCAGCCCAATAGCCTGTGGGCTTTCTGGGTGCTTTATTAAAAATTGTAAAATACAATTAATAAAATATTCATAAATACAATATATTCATAAAATACAATAAAAACTAAAGCAGTATGAGAAAATAACAATTATAGGACGACGATTGCAGCAACTATAACAATTTGACCCCCTCTGGTACAGCAGCAAACAATAAATGATATATAGAATGGGGTCAGCAGATACAAACACACAGACTTAACTATTAAAATAATGGAAAATAAAAAAGGTTAGAAGGTTTTCACTGGCACCAAAACAAAACTGTAATAGAACCTGCAACCGATCCAGCTGAGTCTGCCTGTGTCCTGAAAAACTCTACAGAGCTGTGTCTGTAGTGCAAAGCTCACCAAACTTTGCATGGGTGTATAGTGTGAAATAGCTCAGTTGTACCAAGTTGCTACAGTGGTACCTTGGCTCACGAACTCAGTCCGTTCCAGGACTCTGGTCATGAGCCAAAGTGGTCGTGAGCCAAGTCAAATTTCCCATTAAGGTTCAGTGTCAATAAGGTTAATCCGTTCGGTAACCATTTTTTAAATCAGAAAAATGTGAAGCAAAGGGACAACAACAAAGATCGCGGCCATCTCCCCCCACCACCCCGAGCACAAGCGCAGCCATCTCCCTGCCCCTCCCCAGCACAACCGTCATCCCTGCAGGCGCCCGTCATCCTGGCGCGCTGCAGGGTGCGGGGGAGAGACGGGCGTGATCGCAGGTGCACTCGGGGAGGGAGAGATGGGCTCAAACAGTGCTCTGGGGGTGGGGGGATGGCCACGATCGCAGTTCCGTTCCTGCAGGGAAGGTGTGCCTGATCAGAGACGTGCTCCTGCAGGAAAGACAGGCAGAATCCCAGCCTTCCCCCCGCGGCTCTGCTTTGTTGCCCCTGTCTATCCTGCAGCAGCACGCCTCCAATCACCATGCCTTCCCTGCACGAAAGCAACTGCAATCTATGATTGGAGGTACACAGCTGCACGAATGACAAGCGGATTCACGGCTCTGCTTTGCTGCACCCGTCTTTTCCTGCAGCAGCATGCCTCTGATCATGGATGCCTTCCCTGCACGAATGGAACTGCGATCGTGGCCATCTCCCCACCGGGTGGTGGCGGGGGGGGGGGGATGGCTGCAATCTTGGTTGCCACCCAAAGCGGTGTTTGCAACCCAAGTAAAAATTTTTCAGTAAATTTTGCTCGTGACCCGATTTGTTCATGAGCCAAGGTATTCGTGAGCCAAGGTACCACTGTACTTCCAAGGAAGTTGAGATTTCTATAAAATGACTACCACCAGGAATAGCTTCCCAGGAGACCGAGCAGAGCAAGCTGTAAAGAAAATGATGTAAATTACCTAAAGCATGATTTAAATTAGCAAGAGAGAATGTCTGATTCAATTTACTCAAATCACATTTCCCATTGCTACTATTTTATATGTTAGCTAAATAGCAGTGCACATCTGACCAACAGCAGAACAGTCCTAAATCCCTTAGGTAGCTATCTGGAAGGAGTTTGCATGTCCACTCCCACCTCCCAAAAGAACCAGTTACACCCACAGTTAATCTGTTACCAGTGGTTTTTCTCTCACTGGTAGGGTCACAGAGGGAGAAGACAGAGGAAGTATGCGACCTGCAGGATCCAAAGCACCACAGTCCACTGGGGAGACCCTAGGATTGGACTCCTTTTCTGTACCAGTCTGGATTCGGCACAACTGCACTCTTTCTGATTAAAACTAGCAGAGTAGTTAAAGGACACATGATAGAAGTACACTCTACTGTCTCTTGCTGTGGCTTGTTTGAGCAACTCGAGCCCTTTGGAAATGTGGATGAATCTACCAGTGTTTTCCTCCTCAACACCATTTTAGGATTGCACTGTAACACATTACAAGGAAATAGAGTTGTATTCATACTGTGTTACTTTTATTTGCGTCTTATTGGTCACATTCTATATATTTTATATGGTATTCCATATAGGCTATTCCTTATCACCAGCTGCCATGAGATGTCTGCCATGAGATATAAATATGCAAATATTTGAACTGAAAAAATTAGCAAATATGTGGACTGGAGAGTATTGTATTATTTTAGTTTTGCTCCCTTTTGCCTCACTCTGGCTTAATGAAGCCCCTCCATTAACAAGCACAAAGTCAGAAACAAAAATGAAATGCCCATGATCAATAGATTGAAGCAAGGTTTGGAAGTTATTTAGCAAAGTAGAATGGTTTGTTTTCATGAGGTTTGGTCGGTAAAGTATTATTCTTATTTGGGAAATGATCACATTGGTTCTTGGTTTATAATGGAAAATTCTCCTTTAACTAAATATAACCTACAGAGGAAGCAATTCAGTTTGAAGATTAACTGTAGGGCTAACATGCTTATATTCTGATTATTTAGCAACACTGAATATATTCTGTAAAATAAAGTCTGTCTTATATAAATAAATTGAAATATTTTTATTCATCATGCATAACACACTCATATGTGTGTTACTCATACTCCATTAGCATAGAGTGATAAAGTATAACAGGCCATGCTTCTCTACCTAAATTATTTCAGTGTCTGACAAGTAGAATTCCACACAGATAACACCTTTCAATTTCTGTGTTTCAAGCAAAATTTGCACCTAAAATTCAATGAAACACTTTTCATATATGAAGCCTGACTTCCTGCATCAAATCCTGTTGAAGCACTTTGGAAATATTTTGGTTACATTGTAGTTTGGACAAAGCTGAGTAATTGTAAAGAAAATGAAATAAATCCGGAATGTGGGTGTGTTTATGAAGCTTACAGAAGACCATTTAAGTATTTGATGCATAGACTGCCCCATCCTAAGTGCTTTTGAGGTATAACAGCAAGTTAAGTTTTATCAATCTGACCATTAGTTAAATCAATCTGACCTTCACTGAGAACCAGCACATGGTCAGATTTGGTAATTTCAGAATTTAACTTGGATAGTTTGTGGTTGTTCTTTTATGAAAATTAAAATACTGCTTTGGGAACAAACATTATGGCTGTGCTATAGCACACTGTACCAAGTTTTATATCTGCTTAATGATACATGAGAAGTTAAGCTTTAACTGTGTTGATGTTTTGTTTAAGAACAAATTTAATTGCATTGGTAAATGTAGCCTGCTCTGTATGGTTTGAAACATGAGGAATTAAATGCAGTTCACTGTTTGTTTATTTATTAAGACTTTTATATGCCTCCCCATTCGACGAAGCCTTGGGGCGGCTCACAATATCCATGATGCACACCCCGATACTCTTCTCTTGAATGGCACCTGTGTGTGCACCACAAAAGGCCATTAGAGATGTTGGGAGGCCTGTGCATCCTTATATCTGTTGCTTGATCAATGAAGTGTTTGGTGTGCCTTCACTGATACTGAGCTTGGGAAGTAAGGCTTCCTTCTTGACCCTGGATCCGAGGTGATTTAGAAAAACACCCTTTATTTTCCAGTAGATTGTTAAAACCACAGTTAATTGAGGAACTGTGTTCAATGCACAGAAATTCTGCTTGTGTTTTTGAGAATATTGTCCCAGGAAACGTTATGTGCCGTAGCTAAAACCTTATGAATGTTGTTGATTTTAAGTGGTATCCTGTGTTATTTTGAATGGGTTGAGTTGGTTTGAGTCTGGAAGGCTTTGGGAAGTAAAGCAAAAGTGAAGTTGATGCTATGATTGCAAAATATGCTTGAGAAGTTATCCACTCATACTCATTCATCACAATAAGAGAAGTAAACACAGAGAAAATAACATCATTTTTTAACATTTCCCAGAATTTAATTGAAAAATGATATTGCACAGTATCTCATAAATGTGACAATTTTAATAATGCAAGCGTAGTTCTGTGTACATAATTTATTTAGGAGTTACATTAGTGAGTTCTATTGGTGCCCCACAATTTCATTCAGGCAAAAATAATGTTAAATTTGATAAATGCTTAATGATAGAAGTCTAATGACTTCGTATAATATTTTAATTAACTCTTGCAGTATTAAATAATATAGTTTGTTTTCTAATTCATACTATCAATTATTTAACTTTAAGCAAGTATTTTAAATTCTTTACTGCAGTGGCTGAAAGCTGAACAACATCTTGCTTCTCTGATTATTGACTAAGCTAATAACTGAGTAAAGGTGAAGTGGCACTGCCTCCGTCAGAATGTCAGGAGAGAATTCAGGCTGACATGGACACATGAATTAGTGTGCCCAAAATCACATCTAGAATGTTGCTTGCGTCAGTCACAGCAAGTGATAGTGTATGCATATATAACTGAAGGGAGCGAGCCTGCTTGACTGTACATAACCATGTATGGGGTAGGGTGTCTTTTTCTTTTCTTTCTATCCCCCCTTTTTTCTTTTTGCAGAGGTGTGGAAGTATATATCCCAGGGGAACAGTAGTGGCTTAGTGGTAGAGCAGATACTTTGTACATTGGTGGGGAGGCAGTGGGGGGGGGGGGTTCAGCCCCGAGGTTGGGAAATCTGCCTGAAATCCTGAAGAGCTGTTGCCAGTGAGTATCAAGTATAATAAGCAAGATACCCAGTGGTCTGATTTAGTATAAGGCAAATTCCTATATTCTAGTGTACACCTCTCCTCTCAAAGTACACCGACTGTAAATTAAAAAAAATAATTGGAAAGGGCTTTAAGCTAAGAAAAAGAGTCATTCCTACAGTCAGATGTGCATGATAGTCTTGCTTTCTAGGGGCAGGAATGACTGCTTTCCAGCAACTTCATCTAGCAGTTCAAATGTCCGATAAGGGCACGATGCCCCAGGCTGACCTGGAAATCAATAGATTTCTTTAAAACAAAACAAAGAAAACAGAAACTCATTAATTGATTTCGCAATCCAAGAGGCTTTGAAAATGAAGATCTTCCCTTAGCCCCCAGTGCACCTCCCTGCTGTTCCATTTACTTAATCCAAACAAATCTGTATTTGTTTATTTGTTTGGTTGGTTGGTTGGTTCCTTTCTGGACCAGAATCACCCAAGTCTCCGGGGAAACCACTGATCAGCAGTCAGTTTTACTCCCGAATAAGGGCTGTTGCCTAGGATAGTGTGTGCTCGGTTTTATATCAAAGATCCGGAAGCCACTTTAAATTTATTTTGTTTAGTTAGTCGGTTGAAAGCTGAAATTAATGATGGAGAAAATCTATAGGAAAGAAAGGAAGTTTTGTTGTGAGAATCCAAAAATTCATGTCTTTTCTTTGAAAAGGAGAGATTACTTATACCATATATTTATATAGTCCTCGGCAGATAGGATTTTTCTATTTATCAGGTAGTAATTATATATGCTAAATGTTTTTGATACCCCCTACCCACCTTTGATTAAAGTACTTATCGCACTGGAGTGATAGCATTTGAAAAAAAAATGTAGGAATCCAGTTATTTCCCACCAAACTGTGATCTGTAGCAGTTTCTGATAGCTCTTTTAATGATATAACAGTGGATATGGTAAAACTAAGAGTGGTATATAGCAGGGCTGGATTTCAAATAGGAATCTTTCTGTTATGTACAAACTTAGATAACAAACGGAATATGTGAACTATTATATGTAACTAATTGTAATGGTTTCTTGAAGTAGGATAATTATATGATAATCTGTGCTAATTGGATTTATGAATAAAGCCTGTGATCATAGGCTATAACAGTATACTAACAAATATTAGTGTTGTATTTTTAAGACTTTTCTCACACACTCTCTCATCCAATTGCATTTGGTCAGATTTTCTTAGAGCATTTTTATTACTTTAAAGACCATGCTCCCTTGATGCCCTATTTTCTCTATGTTCTTGCAGACATAGTTTCTGTTTTGATAGTCTTTTGAATTGGACCTGAGCCTTGGGCTCATATGCTTCCTCCTTTGCTTGTTCTCTCAGATTCTCTAACTTCAAAACAAGCAAATGCTTATTTGTGCTTACCTTCCAAATGAAAGTTGCAAGCCATTGTTTGATCCCTGTTTGCAATTCCCAGAACATTTCTAAAAGAAGGTTATTGGGCCAGGAGTACTTCCAACGTATATATGATCCACATAGGCTAGACATGTCTTAGCCTTTAGCGACATGGATTACCATTTTCCCTGTTTCATGTAATTTTCATCTTTTTCTGAGATTCTGGAAAGCACCTTGGAACCTGTAAGTGGAGTTAAGTAACCCTGGCTTTCTTTTTCACCTTACAGATGGAATTAGTGTGAGTGGTCTTCCACTTTCCAGTCCTTTTCGACAAGTGATAAAACCACGAGTGGAGAATAAGCCTGTAAATCCGCCAGAAACATCCAAAGTTGGTGACTTCAGTCATGTAAAGGTAAATGAGCAGCATCATTATCACTGAAGCTGTATCAGTTGAGTGTGTCTTTCTGTGTTTGCTGGAGTCTGCTAAAACTGTAATGCCAAGAAAATGCTAATGTCCGTATGACTATCTTCCCAAGAAAAGTTGATTATAGTGAAATACATTTCTCCTTGCTGAAAAAAGGGTATAATCAACAATTAACAATGAATATAACACAATTATAAGCTGAAAATAAGTGTGTACATTAATAAGAGATACACTATACCCATCTGGTAAGGGTGACAGAAATACTATAGCCGGGACTTGAATGATGGATCTGCACAAAACTCAGAATGTGCAAAGCACATGAAACTGTGGAACTTAAAGTAGGACTCCCAGCTTGCCCTCCCTCAGCCTCCTACTGTATCCATCCAAGTTGCTACCTCTTCTATCGTGTTTATTTAAATACAAGATCTCCTTGGCTCCATAATCTTTTCTTCTTTCAGTTTGTCAACTCTAATGCATGGAAGGAAGGGCTTGCCGGTAATCTAACAAGCAGTTGATGGTGCACAGTTTTGGTGAAAAAATAGTAACTTTTTCAGTTGAAACGTTTTGAATTGACACATTAAGCCCCGTCTTAGTGTTGCAAGTGTTGACAGTGCTTAGTAATATGTAAGTGTTGGTTTTTGAAAAGGTGGTTAAAATGAGTTGGAGATTTTTGTGTAAAACATTGAGTGTAAAATATTGTTGCCGTGCCTCCATGTTTACATAGACACATACTCCACATAATAAACAATATATAGTGACTGTGATTAATTGCCATTGACGGTCTGATCTTCCATGAGCAGGGAGCTGAAAAACAGATCGAGACAGATTGGTTGTTGCTGAAAATGGTAGGCTGGAGGGTCAGAGGTGGATTGATTTAAGAGAAGAGGAACAGCCATAAGAGAAAGGGGTATCCAGATGATTTCACTTCCTGTTTTATTCTCCAAGATTAGAAAAATGCTGTTTTGATCAAGCCCCCTCAGTTTTCCTGGCAGTAACCACACATTGCCCCTTCCTGGATAGTAATGGACTGCACCATGGTGTCTGTAGATATCCATACTGAAGGTGTGCAGATGGGCATTGATGGGGAGTTCAATGTGCAGAAGTGAGGTGAGGAAGGATCTGGGAATGGCAGTAAAAGAGGTTTGGCGTGATGCAACAGTCCAGACTTTATGTGAGCATTACTTGTGTGACTTTATGTGAGCATGACTTGGGTGTGGTTTGTTCATCATTCATGAGGCACCCTGAGAACCCATGACTAATTCTTGGGTTGCTCAGGGTGGCTTGTTTTTAGATCTGTGATGTGCAGACTTGGGAGAGCAGCTTATACAGGGCTTGTTGGAAAGTGCCGCCAAGTACCTTCAAAAAAATCAAGCTGGTGCTGCCTCCATCTTCCCTTTCCATCTCTCCCGTCTTTGATACATTGATCAGAAGTGACAGAATTTACTTCTCTACTGCATCAGCTCCCTAGACAGAGGTACATTTTTCCTTTCCACCTTCAGGAACATCTGTGCAATGAAACTTAATTTTTATTCTACCTTCAGGAAGATAGCGCAAGTTTGTTAAAGCATAGTGGTTACTCCAAATAAATGGAGCATGTATTGTGAATTTGCACAAAGCTCTCTGAAGATGGAGAAAAGTAACATTAAATATATGCAAATCACTAAATGTGAAAAGAAAAATCTACAAAAACCTCACCAAGTGTATATTAGCATGTGAATAATAGACATTGAGAAATACTGGATTGCATTCCTGAGGCATCATTGCTGAGGGGAAGTACAGAAAGAGATGTCTAGTGGATGCTGGCCAAAAGCAAAGGCCAAATGTGTCCCTTCACTGCTGAAAAATACAGCTCCGTGGCTTCATCTAAAGTCTGTGGAAGGAGCTAGAGTAGGTGATCAGCCTCTTCAACGATGCGATAAATTCAGAAGGAAATCCAGACAGTGCCGATTGCCCTGCTGCTCATGTGAGAACGGAAATGGAACAACTGGGGTCTTCTGGGATTAGCTTCTGTGCTCAAGCCAGGATGAAGCTGTCGCTGTCTTGCATCCTGAAGGAGAGGATTTCATGCAGGACCTAAACTCCTCTCCACTCTTAGAAGTATACAAGATCCTAGCAGTAGCCCTAGTAAAAATGGAGCAGTTCATTTTATGGTAGGGAAAATGAACAGACTTATATCCCCCTGGTTCCAAGTGTGTCGTTGTCTGATGAACAACCTAATGCAAGTACAAAGATGCAACTTTGTGTTGGATGCAGTGGTGCCCGAAATACCCAAGGACAAGAGAGGAGCACGGTTGTTGTTACTCCCTCCACCCATCTCTTCCAGCATAGCATTTTGATCATGAAAATAATTATGTCTTATAAAATATTGATTTTTTGTCTTGTAGTATTTAAAATTCCAGCCGGTGCTGCCTGTTCCCTAGCCTGCCTTTGGTTATACTGTTTCTCTGCCATTTGCAGGGCAGACTAAGAAGAGGAGGTCAGGGAATGTCACATTGACTGTCTCTCATGTGCCACAGATGTTCATTTTGAACTACATGAAGGGAGAAATTGAAATGTGCCCAGTGCATGTGACAGAGTGCTTCTGAGGCCGAGTGTTCAAATGCAGCATTGTCAAGCTATTTTTAGAGCACTTGCTGTTTAAAGATTCAGTTGAGGCTGCTAATAGGTGTATTTATATCCATTCTGTCAACTGCCACAGCATGAGCACGTTTACAGATGATAATTCTATTCTTGGAGACTGCACCATGGTTACCATTAACCTGCCTGCTTAAATATATGCTGTACTTCTATATACATTTCTAAAATACTTAGTTACATAGGAGTGTGTATTCTTTGCGTTGGCAGTAGTAAGTAGACATTATCAGATTGGGGATGAAAGTAACGATCTATCAACCAATTAAAATTATGTAGCTCTTTCACCAGTTTTGCACAAAAATGCATCTAAACTGCTTTAAGTGAACAACATGCTTTAAGTTATTTGTGGCCAGCAATGCACATTTTTGTTCAGGAAATGTTAATATATTACCCACTCACTATTTCTAGGGAAGACTTATTTCAAAAAGCAGAGAGCTAATGGGGAGGCAGTCACACCCTAAATACTGCACCCTAAATACTGTTTATCCTCTTGGCATTGGTTCATGCAGGTTTGTCTGTCCTCTATCCATGAAGGGCTCTATTATATATTAGGTCCAAAGTCTTTTTTGGAGACCTGTTAGTTCAGTACTAGCTTAAAACTAGTACTGGGTGGAAATCTAGGCTAACACTCTGATGCGGGGGGGGGGGGATTCACTTGCTCCCTGCTGAAGGCATTTGCTCCTTCCTTCACTAAGTTGTCATTATTGGAATTTAATACTGGGGAGAATTGTGGCATTTGTGAAAGAACTGAGTTTCACGTTTGCAATTTCTAATTATGAATGATTTCATTCTAACTTAAAAAATGGCTCATGTTATTCACAATTAATTAATTAAAGCATTTGTATGCCCCCCAATTGTGCCATAGCACCTCTTACTTTTTTTACTGTGTGATAACAAGACACAATAATACAGAATACATTAACTAGGCCAATAAATCTGGAAAATATGTAACTTTCATTGTATCAGTGCCTGTGCCCATATCCAGGGTACTGTTCTTCACCGTATGCATTGCGGCTACTTCCTTGTGGCCTCTGTGGCTCACACATGTGGCACCTGTGCCTGCACAAAAGAGTCTTTCAGAACATTCCAAAGTAAAACAGAAATTCAGAGGGGGTGCCCTGCCTACCACCTTCGTGATGCTCCAGGCATGGCTTCCAGGAGTTTCTCAGTTCTGTTTTGTGCACTATAGTGACTAGCAGCATTTACAGATTTCCCCATCTCTTGGCTAAAACACAAAATTCCCAACAGAACTGAATCTCTGTCTCCACTGAACTGAATTTCTTTATTTTCCTTACCTTCAAGTTTTGCCCCTATTTCTTTCTTGCATACCCAAGAGAATACAGTCTCTGAAACTGCTTTCCAAAGATGTTCCTGCTGCAGCAGTAGCATCTGGTTCACACTGTATGCCATGTCTGCTCGTACAGCAAGGCTTCTACTGAACAGGCCAAGAGGATGAGAATAGCATGTCTTTGAGCCTTTCTTTGGGAGCAAGTTGTCAAGTGTGGTGGACATGGCTATGCCTCTGCATACCATTGGCTCCCCTTTCACAAGAAGCCTACTCTAGTCCTTCTGACCTTTTGGGCTAACCACCAGGAGAGCACTTTTGAGTATCAGAAGTACCAGCCTTTCCAGTACCGGTAACCTTGGCTGTCCCCCTGAACAAACAGCTTGGGACCAGCCCATTTGGCACTGATAGTTGATCCCAAGATCAAACAGACCAAGGCCTGAAACAAGTGACTAGTGAATCCGTAGATTATGGAGCTTAAAGCCAAAAATGGGAAGACAGCTGAATCTGAAACAAACCCAAACCCAACCATTCACTGGCCCCAGTCCAGCCTCCCATGACTTGGATAGTACTCTGAACATTATTGCATCCAGGAAACCAATCCTAGAAAAGCTACACATTCCATGTCACTTTAGTTCCCTGGATGATGAATTCAGTGCCCCATTCCTCACCTTAGGCCTTTCTACAGCATCAAGTATTTTTACAAAATCTGTGGCAGTGGCCACAGCACACTTTCAGTTACAAAGAATGGTAGTATTTCCATACATTACAATTGGCTCCTCATCACCTTCTCCTGCCAACCACACTCAACCAACATTGCAACTGCCTTCTCTCTTCTAAAAATTCTTGGCCTGAAGGAAAGTCCTGCTTTACTACCTCTTGGTCCCAACAACTTATCAGAACGCTTCTCAACTCATCTGGAGACCGAGCGTGCTCACTGAAGGATAATAGAACGGAGACTCCTGCTCCTTAGCCACAAACTCTTCCACAGCTGAATACTGCTGGCAGCGATGGTTCAATGGCTCCTTGGACTCATGGCCTCCGCTATAGCAGTCATCCCTATAACCCA